ACAACTTCATTGTACTTGTTTGAATCCATAGGAAGACCAAACAGAATATTGTCTTGAACCGTTCCATTCTGAATCCACGACGTCTGCGCTACATAAGCCGTGTTCCCACACACCCTAACCTTCCCTGAGATCTTATGCATTTCTCCAAGAACCGAAGCTAGCAACGAAGACTTCCCTGATCCAACTGTCCCCACAATCGCAGCGAGCTCTCCTTTCTTAACCTCGAAGTTTATATTCTCAATAGCAGGCTCATCATCGTCATCATCCCAGCTGAAACTCCCATCTCTGATCTCAACAGCGACATTCCCATCACCACAACCTTCAACCCTCTCCACAGTCTCTCCCGACAGCTCTCTGCTCGTCATGTAAGCGTCGAGCCTCCCGAGAGAGATCATCGCCTGCGAAATAGCGATCATAGACTGCGGAAACGTCCTGATCGGTTCTTGAAGAATCTTGAAGATAGTCGTTGTGGTGAAAACCGTTCCCGCGTCAAGCTTGACCCCCAAGAAAACCGCCGTCGCGAAAGTAAGCGCCGAGATCAACACCGGCGTGCTCCAAAGCACGATGATGTTCCCAGAAATCGAGTAAAGAAACTTAGACAACCAACCAAACTCCATCTCCCTAAACTTGAGTATCCTCTCGTTGAAATGATCCTCCCACGCCTGAAACTTAATCACTCTCATATAGTTCAACATCTCATTAGTCGCTTTCATACGCGAGTCACGATTCATCATCAAACTAAACTGAAACCTATTGTTCCTCCTCGTCCCCATGAGAACGAATACCAAAATCCCGGTTAAACCGATAACCGTGGTCACCACGGAAGGTCCAAGGACACGGTAGAGAAGCACAAGAGCCACAGCCACTTGCAAAGGCATTAGCCAGATAGCGTGCAGCTGAAGCATCATATCGGATAGCTGCTGAGCATCAACAGCCATGTAATTAACAATCTGCCCCACTCCGTGGCTCTGACGAGCAGAGCCGGTTAGTTTCAAACCTTTCTTGTATAAGGCCGTTATGAGAGTTGATCTTATGAGCATCCCTAGCTTCTGTGAGTTGAAATTGAACTGATGAGTGGATAAGACTTCGACGAATTTGGCGATTAGGAGGATGAGGACGAGGTAGTATCCTTGTGACGGGGAGGAGCCTTTGCCTGAGGTGAAATCGACGAAGCTTTGGATGAGGACGGGACCTACGTAGATGACGCTGAGGCGGAGGATGGCGAGAATCGCTGTGAGTGAGACTTCTCTCCAGAAGCAGCGGAGGAGAGTGGTTCTGACGGGGTTTCGTGAATTCTCGTGAGGTTTGGGCCATTTGGATTCGAAGAGGGAAGCTAACTTCTCGGCTCTGTGCTCTGGGGAGAGAGTAGGGACTTGTTCGAGGTTTAAAGGAGATTTGTAGCCTTTGCTGAGTAACGGATTCATCCATAGCCAGAACGTTTTGGAGAGAAACGACGCCGTTGCGTATAGTGAGACGTTTTCGGATTTTTCTAAAACGACGTCGTTTGGTTTCGCGGGAATTGTGATTCCGCTGCTGCTAGTGGTGGTGGTGATTACTATTCCTGTGGAGCCTTTGATGGAGACGATGAGTAAGACGGCCGTTAGAGGGAAGGAGATTAAGGATGCGACGTCGTCTGCTCTTAGACTCGCGGCGGATGGATCATCGTCGGAGATGAGGTGGAGGATCGCGGAGATTGTGAAGAGAGTGGTGACGATGAAACTTGCAACGAAGTAGATTCGTAACGTTAACGGATGGTTAAGGGATGCGAATCTTTTTTCGTGGAGAATTAAAACGGAGATGACGGCGTACGTAACGGCGTGGATGAGCCAAAACAGAGCGTCGACGAGTTTTAGTTTGGTACGTGTGGTGAAGGCCAAAACGCAGAGCGCGAGGGAGCAAAACGACAGGAGGATTGTGACTACGATTGTCGTTTTGAATAAACCGGTTATTCTGGTTACGGTTCTTCTTGCGATTAGAGGCTTCCTGATGTCAGCTTCTGTAGAAGAAGAGGAGGAGAAGAGTTTGTGGAGAGCGAAGAAGGTGAGGATGATGAGGAAGAAGAGATCGACGGCGGAGGAGAGAAGTCGCTGTGGACATGGAGATAGGAGAACGAATCTCACCCATTGGATTGGAGCCGGAAGAGATGACGACGGTTTTATGAACTCCGACGGTGAACATGAGAGACCGGAGAGCCATGAAGAAGTAAGCCACCACATTTTTTTCGGACAATAACCAAACTTCAAGAAAACTCACTTGTACTAATATAATCGGTTTGGTTTGGTATTAACTTTGCATTATTAGTCTATTTCCACTTATACTCTGTATTTGACTATTTGTTACTTAACATACAATATTAAGGATTAATCAATTGTTTAGAAAACAATTAATTAAGCAAGGCTGCTACATGGTTTAATATTGATTCAGTCTACGTAGCCGACTGGCAAGAGGAAGAAGAAAAACGTGGGACTAGTCAGTAACTTACCTAATTCAGTCTAAGTGTATGTGTAGGACACCGGACAGGTGTGAAGACGAGATGAGTTAGAAAATTGAGTGGCAACAAATGAATAATTTATTATGTTTTGGACTTAGCATAGTGGAGCGCAGAAAATGGAAGTCACTTTCAAAGATTTAGTTAGTGGAGGGATCTCTCCCTGTTTTTGAATTCGTTTCCATGTGACGTTAGTTTCACTCTTTTTAGTTTTTTTTTTTTGTATAATTATTGTTTCGATAAAAAATAGTAATCCAATAATCAATCCCCATACTTTTTTTTGTGCACACACAATCCCCATGGCCCATACTTTAAACACACAACACACAACACTATTGAGTTTTAAGACTCCAAATATACGTATTGCCCGCTTGAAGGCTACAGCTTAAAATATTACATGAGGTAGAGTAAATTTGTTATATCATTGTAATCGTATAAAACCTGTTATGTCATGCGTGACATCGTCATAATAACACACATTTGTCCTGTAGGAAAACGCCTTATCTTGGAGATATGCTTTATGTGCACATGGTTGCACAAAGATTCTCTTCATGTCTACTGTCTTATCTTTCTGTTTGTATGAATTTAACATATTCCATCAAGAAGAAAATAATTAGGTTTAGGATGTTTTTTAACAGATAGAACAATGATCTTTATTCTTAAGTACATCTACAATAAGAATACTTTTTTCTCTACAACAGGAAAACAATATTGAAAAAAGATCACATGGTCATTGATTTATTTGCAGAGTACTAATTAAACATACCTCAAACGCATTAAAATCTTTATAGAGATCTGCAATATAATTTCCTCACGTGTATAATTTCCTGACGTCTTCATAATCGACCAAAAAGTATACCATCACACTGAAATAACAAATGCCTAGGCCAAACATCATTGCTCCCATTTTCTTTACATTATTGCTGATATTTCACTTGTACTAGTCTTTTTCATCATATATAAAGTTATCATATGGCATTAATCATTGCCATCGTTACATCTTTTTGTTTATTCCTTTACTTTTATTATTTTCTTATATGAATAGCAAATACTTTTGCGGCCTAATCAAACCTGTTGATAGACTCCTAATAAGTAATTAGTATTTATTGTATTCCTTCTCTATCATAATATAAGGTGTTTTATAAGTTCGTATGTAAATTTAATGTTATTTTTTTATGAACTTCAATATTTATTCTTTACTGTAAAAAAATAGTACAAATAGTTAGTAAGCCAAGGAGACAAAGGAGATGGGCAATAAACAAAAATAAATAATGTTTAAAACTGGTTAAGTTGTGTATATTAATATTATTAACTAATCATTAAATAATGTTTTACAGAAATTATTATTATTTTACATGATTTTAACTATAAATTCTTGCATATTGGAGCAGAGAATGTAACTGGTAAGTTTCACCCTACATTGTTTTCGAATCTCTTACCAATGAAGGCTACGGCCACCCAAAGTATAAAGAAATTCTAGTAGAACAAAACATCATTTTCATGGACCCAAACATTTAGGCGATTTATCAAACGCTTAGCTATTTCATTTTTAAAAATACCTTTTTGCGAAAATTATCAACATCACAGTACCCGACACTGCATAGTGATGGGTAGGACCGTTTTTCCGTCGGGGTCTCTTGTCTGCTCCCAATTTCACACCCAAAAAAAAAAAAAACATTAATGACTTTTGTTTTTATCCCTATAAATTAATGAGAATTTGTTTTACTCTCTTAACAACAATTCAGAAAGTATATAGGCATTGGGGGCTCAAGCCCGTATGGAACAAGAACCCTCGATCACAAGTCATGAACATGTTTGCTTTCGTGGAGATGCAGTGAACAAGTTACGTAACAGAAACTCTGAAAGTATAAAATATATGATCAAATAGTCGACTGTTAAAAGTGAAGGCAAACCGTCCATCTGTTTCTTTCAACGACTTACCGTTATCTGTTAACGATAGCAAAATATGGGCTTTAAATTAGTATGGCCTAACTACGTATTAGGCGAATTAATGGCTTTTAAATTACTATGGTCTAACTAGGTAACAGGCAAACTAATGGGCTTTAGAACACTAGGGCCTAATTAGATATTAGGCAAATTTAGGGCCCAACGGATCGGACTATGAAAGCGAGTAGAATACCTCAAGGGTCTTGCCACTAGTAGACTAGCTGATCCGCACTAAGTTTACGCGTCCAGACAGGCAAGCATGTTCTGTCTGACTTTTGACAATATTTCAAACATTTACTTATTAAATGTTTTTTAAATGTTTTTTTCCTTCTTTTGTAGCTTTTAAAATCTCTTCGTTGATCCTTCCCTTTACGAGCTAGACTTCCAAAACGCGTTAAGTTTTTTCTCGACGTCATTACAAATTACGAACACCATAAATCTCCTTAGATTTTCTCTTAAATATCGTATTTGTGTCTGAATTCAGACCAGATCTTTGTGTCGGAATCTTAAATTTCATCGTGTCTGAATTCAGACTATATCTCTGTGTCGGAACCAGAAGAAGAAAATGATAGAAAAATGCTTAGGAACGAATCGGTGTCGGAGATTACAGAGATTCTGGCGTCAAGGAAAAGTGACGCTTCTCTGCCTCGTTCTCACCGTCATCGTCCTACGTGGCACAATCGGAGCCGGTAAGTTTGGTACGCCGGAGCAAGACATCGAAGAGATCCGCGAGCATTTGTTCTACTCTCGGAAACGCGCCGAGCCTCACCGTGTCCTCGTCGAGATCACCACCAAAACGACGTCGACGGAAGACGCAAATGGCAACAACTACGAAACATTCGATTTCAACAAGATATTCGTCGACGAAGAAGGAGAAGAAGAGAAATCCGAAGACCGGAGTAAACCGTATTCCCTCGGTCCCAAAATCTCCAATTGGGATGAGCAGAGACATGATTGGCTCAAACAAAACCCGAGTTTCCCTAACTTCGTGGCTCCAAACAAGCCGAGGGTTCTTCTCGTCACAGGTTCAGCTCCTAAGCCGTGTGAGAATCCTGTCGGAGACCATTACCTTTTGAAATCGATAAAGAACAAGATCGATTACTGTCGGATTCACGGGATCGAGATCTTCTACAACATGGCGTTGCTTGACGCTGAGATGGCTGGGTTCTGGGCTAAGCTTCCGTTGATAAGGAAACTGTTGTTGTCTCATCCTGAGATCGAGTTTCTATGGTGGATGGACAGTGATGCGATGTTTACGGACATGGTGTTCGAGCTTCCGTGGGAGAGGTACAAGGATTATAACCTCGTGATGCACGGTTGGAACGAGATGGTTTACGACCAGAAGAATTGGATTGGGCTTAATACTGGAAGTTTCTTGCTTAGGAACTCGCAATGGGCCCTTGATCTCCTCGACGCTTGGGCTCCCATGGGCCCAAAAGGGAAAATCCGTGAAGAAGCGGGTAAAGTATTGACCCAGGAGCTTAAAGACCGACCCGCTTTCGAAGCTGACGATCAGTCTGCGATGGTTTATCTATTGGCGACTGAGAGAGCGAAATGGGGAGGGAAAGTGTATTTAGAGAGTGGCTATTACTTGCATGGTTATTGGGGGATTTTGGTGGACCGGTACGAGGAGATGATTGAGAATAATAAACCGGGTTTTGGAGATCATCGGTGGCCACTTGTTACGCATTTTGTCGGGTGTAAACCGTGTGGAAAATTTGGAGATTATCCAGTGGAAAGGTGTCTCAGGCAGATGGACAGAGCGTTTAATTTTGGAGACAATCAGATTCTTCAGATGTATGGGTTCACTCATAAGTCGCTAGGGAGTCGGCGCGTGAAGCCAACGCGCAATCAGACGGATAGGCCGCTTGATGTCAAGGATGAGTTTGGGCTGCTTCACCCGTCGTTTAAAGCGGCAAAACTCATGACGTGAGGAAGAGTATTGTTTCATTTTTTATTACTTTAGGGACACGTTATGTTTCATTCCTTTATTGTTTATACCAACTCTTCTTTTCTCTGATAAATTAGAAACATGTGTTTCTTTATTTTATTAAATAGTATATAATATACAGAGAAAATTAATCACACACGGTCCACGGCACACCAGCATAAAATTTAATGACAATGATAGTACCATCTTAATTTTTATAGTACTCAATCAATAATCTGAACATGCATCGTCATTACCATGACACCCCTTTTTAAGAAACATCCTCGCGATTCTCCCGTTGGCACCACACGGCCAAAAGCCACCGGGACAGTGCTCATTGCCGGTGCCGTACATAACCCTTAGGATTTCCTGTGGTGTTCGGTCATAAGAGAGAGAGTATGGATCGGCGGAGAGGATGTTGCTGGTGGTGCGATTCTCCGCACCTAACCACAGTGGCACGCACAAACCTTCGTCTTTGATTCCACACATACCGAGTTCGTTACGGAGGTTAGATATCTCGTTCGTCAGCTCAGCCACCGTGACTCCTCCGTATTCCTCCACCGTCTCGTCTTGTCTCTCGTAAAGGAGCGTCCTTATCACTGCGTCTTGACCCGATTCCACCCCCAAAAGACCCGCCACAAGCTGATTAAATTAATATCTTAATTTTCATTAGTTACGTACAAAAATATTAATTCGATCAGAGGAATCACTAGTTCACTATGATATCTCATCTAGTATGATATAACTTATATGTGTGGTTAATAGAGCATATACATCAGGGGATTACAGAGAAGTTCACACGGATCCCAAAAAAAAAGAGTAAAATAATGTAATTCCGGTGAATTCGCATCACGCAAATCCGCGTCACGCAAATCCGCGTCACGCAAACTCTCTAGGATGATCCGGTGTCAACACTGTTTCGTGGACTCCACGCCACGTGGCAATCCATGATTAATTCCTTTATTTTTTATTTTTTTGAAAAAAATAATAATAAAAAATAATAAAAAAACCTCATGAACTCCTTCAGGGTCATTAATGCATGTGCTTTTAGTCACTTTAATTAATTTTCAATTTTGAATGACATTGTTGTTGCACTAGGACATTTGTTTAAAAATCATTTATTAATTTTTTTTAATGTTTTGAAACAAAGCATTCATAACTATTAAGTTTTACTTAGTTATAATTAATCTGAAAAATATATTATAGAAATATATTTCTTTTGTAAAATCTGTAAATAAATGATAGATGTCTTCTTGTTTAATTTGCTAAAATAAATATAGATCACAACTTTACCCGTTTGATGTTGAAGTAGACAAGGTAAGGAATGGCACCGACGTAACCAGTGAGGCCAACATAAGGGATATAGTATGAAGCTAAAAGATAGTTGAGTGAGTTCGCATAAGGATCGAACCGCGGCTTTGATCTACGTCCAACCGCTCTGTCCATAAACATCGCAAAATTCTCTCTCGTTAAATTCAGCAGCGGACGCGGAATCCCTCCCGTCATATCTGCAATCGCCCTTCAAAAACAAATATATCACTTAATGTTACTATGTTTTATAACTTACGGATCATTCATGAACTAATAATTGTAAAAATGAGCTGAAAGATTGATCACTTACCTAAGATGGCCAATTTCTTGATAACCAAACTCTTCGATGATGCGATTAGTTATAGGATCAAGGTTGGCCCTCTTGGCCCCAATCGGGGCTGGTCCACCTTTAGCAAGTGTTGCATTAAATGCATCGAGTCCTTTTCCGGTAGACGCTTTCAAGAAGAATTCAGCTTCGGTGAACTCCAAGTTCATCGCGAAATGAACTAGATCTACATCGGTCGCTGATAGATTCCCTGAGCACCTAAGAGCATCGTATTCAACCGGACTTGCATGTATTCCAGATAATGCAGTAAGAAATACGAGAAAGAGACTGAATCTAAACATATTTTTACTTCTGCTTCTTTGATTTTGGTTGTGTTGAAAGCATGGATGTAACCAAGAGCTTACCTTTATACAGGCTTTTGATTTTATTTTCATAATTTTAGTACTTAATTTTTTTTTGAAATTTAATCAATATGTGGTTAGAATTGTACTGTTGAAGACCCTACGTATATACTACAAGTTAATATCAATTAACACTACGTAAATACCTTATTTTGGTATAAACGGAATATTGACAAGTTTTCTATACCGCTAGCTACTTTAATATTCGTCATTACGTAGGATAATTAACATATTTTATCTGGCTCTGTGAGAATTATTCTATTAATTTGATTGTGACAACATTATGTTATTTATATTTCCTTATTATTGACGATTATTCCGGTGGGGTTGGTTTATGAACTGAGATTTATTATTACCCTAAAACTGAAGTTATCTTATCACTGGAAAATGAAAGTTATTTTTTCATAGTCCACACTAGTACCTTGAAAATGACATCGGATTTTAAAGCTTATTGTCTTAATCTTAACCGATATTAGTTGGTAGAATGGAAGATAGGGTAAAGAGAAGAAACAGACGTGGGTAAAATGATATCTTGTGCGTTGACAAAAAACTAATTATGTGACCAAACGAGATATCGATAAATTAGTGATGGGGAGGTGATATATTTGCAGTAGATGAAGCTTTGGCAAAGCATATATTTGTAACAACCAATCTACGTCTCTACCTAACTCAAACCGATAAATATTTATATATGTATGCATATATTATTTTTCATACGGAAAAGTATTTGGTTAGAGTACGTAGGTGGTTAAACTGGACATGGAATATTAACTTTCTGTTTCCGGAAATACAATTTTACAGAGTACATGTTATTCTTGGATCATATTCATATACGTTTGAAAGAAATCAAAATATGGTAAATATATAACAAAATTTTAGAAATACAATATACATGTTTCTGGTAAACATGTGTATTTACGCGTATATTTTCCTCAGAACTATGTAACAAGAGACGACACATATCTTGTTACACAACTATGTAACAGTTGTGTATCCATGTATACGTACCTAACTTTCTAAGCGTTTTAGTTGGATGGAAAAAGAAGTTGGGAACAGAAGTTCTAGTACTTGTGGGCTGTACTACCATAGGCTTAAATTAGTCAAGTAAAGGCCTATTGGCATAGTCAGTAAAGGCTCACCTTTCTCTGTTTTGCCTTTGGATTTTTTTATTTAAGTGAACAATAATTTGGTAAAGGTATTATACAGTAAAAGATAATAATATTAGGACTACAATTTTATTTATTCAAGTCCCTGGATGTCCTGTCCCACTTGCTTGTCTACAGTTACAATAAACCTTATATTCAAGAAAGCGCATCTGGTGTAGTGGTATCATAGTACCCTCCCACGGTACTAACCAGGGTTTGATTCCCTGGATGCGCATATTTTTGCTTAAATAAACTAAATTATAACTACAGTTAAGTTACATCAAGGAGATTTGAACAAAAAAAAAGTTGGCATCAAGGAGGAAAAAAAAAACAAAAATCTGCATTTGTTTAGGAGGAGAAATAGAATTTATCTGCTGTAGTGGTATCATAGTACCCTCCCACGGTACTGACCAGGGTTCGATTTCCTGGATGCGCATATTTTTGCTTAAATAAACTAAATTATATCTACAGTTAAGTTACATCAAGGAGATTTGAACAAAAAAAAAGTTGGCATCAAGGAGGAAAAAAAAAACAAAAATCTGCATTTGTTTAGGAGGAGAAATAGAATTTGATGTCTTGTTGAAGTCTTTGTAGATATCATTATCATGTGTTGTCTTTGTTTGGGAATGGTAAATTTAGCTAAAGCAAATCGGTAGTGGAAAGATATTTTGTTTCCTGAAATGCTTTTTTAATAGTCGCAAGTCACATCACAAGGAACAAACTCCACTGAAAGAGATACTTGTGTAGTCTTCTTCACGTATAATTTTTTTGTTTGCTTATCGCTTTAAATGAGTGGAGCAAGAAGGAATAGAAAAGATGGGCCATTCACTCAATCTCTGGGTACGTTCTTGAACGCTCCAAAAGAAAAGGACTTAACCCTTCATTTTTTATACTCTCTCATTCAATCAGATCAAACAAACAAACAAAAAAGATGCAAGTTTTTTCTCTGTTTTTCAGTTTTCTGTTCATCCTTTTGGTAATAAGCTGCAGCGATGCCTTCACCAGAAACGATTTTCCAGAGGACTTCCTCTTCGGAGCCGCCACTTCTGCTTATCAGGTTTGACTCTGCTTACAGATTTAGAGAACTTTGCTGTATTTGAAGTTCAAATGTTCTGTTTTGTTGTAGTGGGAAGGAGCTGTTGATGAAGATGGAAGGACTCCAAGCGTCTGGGATACTTTCTCCCACACTAGTAAGCTTTATAAATTGTACATTTTATTCAAAGAATACCTTTCCTCTTTTGGTCTAGCTGATGATGTTCATTAGTTGTTGTATGTTTCTATTTAACTGGCATTTTAAGTCTAGAAGTTGAGTTATTATTATTATTATTTTTTTGTCATCAAACAAACAAACATGTAGACTCTCGGAACCAAACTGGTAGTTCTGTATCCATGTCAACGACAAAAGACGATTGATTGTATCTATCTTAGAGTTTGTTTTTATTAGATTCATTGTATATAGATCTTGACTTACAAAAATTTGCAGCTAACTTAGGAAATGGAGATATAGCATGTGATGGATATCACAAATACAAGGTTCTGTCTCTCTTTTGTTTGTTTGCCGAACAAGTTACCCTAAGTCTCTTACTCTCAAACTCGATGTAATTGTGACTTGTGCAGGAAGATGTTAAACTCATGGCTGAAATGGGCTTAGAAGCATTCAGATTCTCTATCTCCTGGACAAGGCTTATACCTAGTAACGCTGTCTCTTCTATTTTCTTGCCCTGCAAGTAGACGGTTTTGTTTCTCAACTTTTAAACCCTATTTTTGTGACTTGTTGTTGGTTTCTCAGATGGAAGAGGACCCATTAACCCTAAAGGTCTATTGTTTTACAAGAACCTCATCAAAGAACTACGAAATAACGGTGATATTATCATCCCTTGAACTTATTAAAGCCAAGTCATAGCTTCTGATAATAGTTTTGGCCAACAGGAATCGAACCACACGTTACACTTTATCACTATGATCTTCCTCAGACTTTTGAAGATGAATATGGAGGATGGATCAACAGTAAAATCATGTATATAAATTATTATGATCTATCAAAATCTCATTATACTTTTTTTTTATGGTGAATTGATGAAACAAATGTTGCTGTTGTTGCAGAGAAGACTTCACTGATTTTGCAGATGTATGCTTCAGAGAGTTTGGGGATGATGTGAAGCTATGGACTACAATCAACGAAGCTACAATATTCGCTATTTCTTCTTATAGCGAAGGATTCGCACCACCAGGACACTGCTCTTCTTCCACCTTCTTCAACTGCTCCACTGGAAACTCGTCTACCGAACCATATATTGCAGGCCATAACATGTTGTTGGCTCATGCCTCTGCTTCCAAATTGTATAAACTAAAGTACAAGGTACCTTTTTAAATCTGTTTTTCCATCTTAAAACCCTTTAACTCTTTTTAGTATAAGTTATGAAACATAATAAATATGATGGTGCAGAAAAAGCAGAGAGGATCTATAGGCTTTAGCATATATGCATTCGGTTTAACACCTTATAGTAACTCCAAGGAAGATGAAATTGCAACTCAGAGGGCTAAAGCTTTCCTCTTTGGCTGGTGAATAAAAACAGTTTATTTTTTTTTTTCTTTTAAAATAACTATGTGGACAAGACCTGATTATTTTGAATATAACAATACAGGATGTTGAAGCCTTTGGTGTTTGGGGACTATCCAGATGAAATGAAGAGAATCTTGGGATCCAGGTTACCTGTTTTCTCAGAGGAAGAGTCAGAGCTAGTTAAAGGATCATCTGAATTCATAGGACTTATCCACTACGTGACAGTCTATGTGAAAAACAGTAGTCCCACACCTTCTCTGTTTCCAAGCAGACATGACTTCTTTACAGACATGGGCGGGGAGACCATCTGTAAGATTACTTTCTTTTCAGTCGTAACATGGCGTCTTGGTTCTTTTGACCTGATAAATCTTCTTGTTTTTTTTTTTGGGATAGTCATGGGGAATTCTACATTCCTTGAGGTAATAAGTCCTGCTGAAAATACTATTCATCCATGTACTTGACTCTATAAAGTCTTCCTTATTTGATTGTTTTCTTTTTGTGAAGTGGGATCCTATACCATGGGGTCTTGAAAGAGTCTTGGAGTATATTAAACAAACCTATAACAATCCTCCAGTCTACATTCTTGAAAACGGTCACCTTCTTTTGTCTTATCACTCTGTTTTTCTTCTTCTTCTTGAAAGCATGACTGTTTGTTCTCAAGATTCTTCCAATTGCGCCAAAAAAAAACAGGAAAACCGATGATACATGGTTCGACGCTACATGACACACCAAGAATTGAATACATTCAAGGTTACATTGGTGCTGTGCTCAATGCCATCAAGTTAGATATTCATCATTTATCTTTTAATTATTTACTGCTGGTTTAGTGTACTTTCTGATCTTGATTTGAATTGATTAGGAATGGATCGGACACAAGAGGATACTTTGTATGGTCAATGTTTGATGTGTACGAGTTGTTGAGTGGCTACATGTACAGCTATGGGATGTACTATGTGAATTTCAGTGATCCTGGTCTCAAGAGGTCACCAAAGCTATCTTCTTCTTGGTACACTGGTTTTCTCAATGGTACAGTTGATGTTGATCCTCAAGCTATTACTCGGTTAGAGAGCAACATCTAGGGTTCCTCTTCGTTTTAATATGGTTTTGTATATATATAATTCAGTTTTATTCCTCTGTTTATTGGTCTGAGTTCGGTATTGGAAGTACATACTTTATATGGTAAAATGGTTTAATCAGATTTGCTTTTTGAGATAGCATTTGGGATCTTGATGGAGCTTGTCAGAGACCAAAAACGGGCCACATAGATTCTGGTAGAGAGTAAAATATTAACAACACTCCAAGACAAGTAGACAACCACAAAAGAAACACATCCACAAATTATATAGAACATGATTATATGGATGTTACCACTTTTTCATCATAGATATATTATATAAAATCTTGGAAGAGTGGCACTTTTGGTATGAGATAAAGTCCTCTATTAGTTTCTTTCACTTCCAAACAGATTTTGCAGTTAGGGATTCTACTCAAAATGTTAAAGAAGAAATAACTTTCAACCCCAAATTAAGGGCCATGCTTTGGGTCTCTCCACCATCCCAACAAAAGCAGGTTCAGCTAATCCAAAGACTAATAACCACACTTGAAATGGATGTTACCATAAATCAACATTTTCACGTGGTATTCATATAAACATGAGAATATTAAGTTGGAATTAGCCCAAAAAAACAAAGACATACACATCGGTTACCAGAAGGGACTAATTGAAGTGTTTTGACTTTTTGTCAGAGCGTTTTTTTGTTTATCATATTTGTTGGGAATCAAAAAAAGATTTCTTTCCCCACGTAAAGATTTAGTAATTTCGTAACGAAAATTATTAAAAAGGTTTAGCACGAACTAAAAGGAAACAAAAATATTTAATTCACCAGTTTTTATTACATTCCGAATTTATTTCGTCACCTACAGTATATACACAAATGTGGAAAGGCAAAATAGTTGTTTATGGGGCTCTCTCCGACAAGATAGACAGTTGCTACAAGTGCGTGGAGAGATCTGTCACTGTCACTGTCCACGTTTTCACGACTAGAAAGGCCCCTTCCCTTGGACTAAATGTTTATTTACTAATATCATCTCGAAAACTCGTAACGGTTCCAGAGGAAACACACACAAAAATGAAAGTGTTCTCTGTGTTTTGCATATCTGTGGTCATCGTCTTGGTTACAAGAGACAGCGATGCTTTCACAAGAAATGACTTTCCAGAGGATTTCCTCTTCGGAGCTGCCACTTCTGCTTATCAGGTTCACTTTCCCTCCTCTGCTTCAAATTTGTTTTCTGTCTTAAAACAATAGATTTTGTGTTTTATTTTTGATGTGATGTTGGGAGAGAATATAGTGGGAAGGAGCTGTTGATGAAGATGGACGGACTCCTAGCGTTTGGGATACTTTCTCCCACTCTGGTATTAAGCATTTAAGCTTCCTCTTCATCTTCTTGAAAAATATATTGTTTATTTGAAATATTTTGTAGTAGTACCACCATCTTCTTGGTTGGTTGATATTTTTTGCAGATAACAAAGGAAATGGAGATATAGCATGTGATGGTTATCACAAATACAAGGTTCTGTCTCTCCTTTTTTATTTGTTTGCTTCACAAGTTACCCTAGATATCTTTGCTCTATTTTCTCATGTTCGATGTTACTGTGACTTGTACAGGAGGATGTTAAGCTGATGGCAGAAATGGGTTTAGAAGCATTCAGATTCTCTATCTCATGGACAAGGCTTATACCTAGTAACACCTCCTCTTCTAGTTTCTTGACTTGCAAGTTTAAAACCTTCATTCTATGAAAACTCTATTTTCTGACTTGTTGTTGGTTTCTAAGATGGAAGAGGACCCATTAACCCTAAAGGTCTATTGTTCTACAAGAACCTCATCAAAGAACTACGAAACCATGGTGATATATATTTCTTTTTACCTAAGAACTTAATTAGCAATTATTATAGATAAAATTTCAATGTTTTTAATATAATAATTGAAAAATAGGAATCGAACCACACGTTACACTTTACCACTATGATCTTCCTCAATCTCTTGAAGATGAGTATGGAGGATGGATCAACCGCAAAATCATGTAAATGATATATATAAAAGGATTCTGATATATCAAAGTCTCATTATACTTTTCTATGATGAAACAAATGTTGTTGTCATTGTGGTTGCAGAGAAGACTTCACTGCATTTGCAGATGTATGCTTCAGAGAGTTTGGGGACGATGTTAAGCTATGGACTACAGTTAACGAAGCTAACATATTCGCCATTGGTGCTTACAGCGAAGGATTTTTGCCGCCAAGACATTGCTCTACTAACAAATTCGTCAATTGCTCCACTGGAAATTCTTCTACTGAACCATATATTGTAGGCCATAACATATTGCTAGCTCATGCCTCTGCTTCAAAATTGTATAGACTAAAATACAAGGTATAATACATAACATACATATATATATAGAGGTCTATTTTGGCTCTTATGAACATAGTGACGGTGCAGAGTAAGCAGAGAGGATCCATAGGTCTTAGCATATATGCATATGGGTTATTTCCTTATACTGACTCCAAGGACGATGAGATTGCAACTCAGAGAGCTAAAGATTTCTTCTTTGGGTGGTGAGATAAAAAGAGTTTCTTGTGTTCTTGTTTCAGTAACGTTTAATGATTTAAATTTGATAATCAAGGTTGTTGAAGCCTTTGGTATTTGGGGACTATCCAGATGAAATGAAGAGAATCTTGGGAACGAGGTTACCTGTTTTCTCAGAGGAAGAGTCAGAGAAAGTTCAAGGATCATCTGACTTTATAGGAATTATACACTACACTACAGTCTATATCGCAAACATTACACCCGCACCTTCTATCCTTCCAAGCAACCAAGAGTTCTTCACAGACATGGGTGTAGATACAATCTGTAAGCTTACTCTCTTTATGGATAAAAAAAGGATTCTCTGACTCATTTTAAACTGATCATTATTCTTCCTGTGGACAGTCATTGGGAATTCTTCATTCTTTGAGGTAATAAGACCTGCAAAAAAGCTATTTGTTGATCCATCTTCTTGAATTTAGAAGGTTCCCTTACATGTTTTCTTTTTTCTTTCTTTGTTGAAGTGGGATCCTATTCCATGGGGTTTTGAAGGTGTCTTGGAGTATGTGAAACAGAGCTATAACAATCCTCCAGTCTACATTCTTGAAAATGGTCTCTCTTTTGTCAGTTCTTCTTGTTCTGTTTTGTCTGCTTTGAAAGCAAACTTTCCTGTTCTTAAGATTGCTTCCATTTGCTAACAGGTTTACCAACGAAACATGATTCGACGCTACAAGACACAGCAAGAGTTGAATACATTCAGTCTTACATTGGTGCTATGCTCAACGCCATCAAGTATATGATTCTCCTTCTTCAGATAAATGGTTTAGTTCCGGTTTACTCTATGATTCTGACCTAAAGATATTTTTTTGACTTATTGGCTAGGAATGGTTCGGACACGAGAGGTTACTTTTATTGGTCGATGATTGACTTGTACGAGCTATTGGCTGGATACAGGAACAGCTTTGGGTTATACTATGTGAATTTCAGTGATCCTGCTCTCAAGAGGTCTCCAAAGCTCTCTGCTTCTTGGTACTCTGGTTTTCTCAATGGTACTATTAATGTTGCTCCTCAAGATATTACTCAGCATCAGAGCCACTTCCCTGGTTTGTCGTCTTTGTGATGTAGTTACATATAGATATAGCTAAAGATTCAGGTTCGGTTATGATCTTCATTTTGGTCTGAGTTTAGTCTTTTCAATGACAAAAACTCAGTTGATTTGGCTTATGGGTTAATAAAAGATACTTGCAATAGATTCTGGAAGATAACATCACTCAACACACAACACAAAGTCTAGCGATCAAATCTCACCACTTAAGTTTTGGTTGAGGATTAAAGTTTTACAAATTATACAAACAATTCGTTATTATTATTTACACAAAATATACATTTAACACCCATATGGTTGCATCAAATCTCACCACTTAAGTAGCAGAGATAGAGACAGAAGAAACTAAAGAGAATACAAATGCAATTTAGAGACGGAAGGAACTAAAGAGAATACATATATGCAATCTAGAAAACAGAAGGTGGTCTTAGACAGTTGTGATACTCAAGCTGAGACATTTCTCCCCCATTCACCGGATCAAACTGGCATCTGTAGAAGCTGTTCAAAACAAACAACAAAGGAGATTATCAGACTCAACTCGAATCAGATATGCAATACACAGAATGACCAATAAATCATAGTAGTTCAAGTTCTCATATAAACTCCACTTCAAAATCAAGTTATTGAGAAGTTATTATTCTTTTTCTTTCTTTCTGCTTACCTCCCATCCATGCCAAGGATAACAACAGTGTTCTTCTGATGACCAAAGGCGACTATGTACTGAGTTCCTTCAACCAACCTGAACTGAGCCACCGACCATTCCGAGCTGAAATACTTAGGCAAGACTCCTGATAGAGCCAAAAAGAGTTAATGCTTACTGAACCAAGCGACTGAAAATTGGGTTTAGGCAATCAATACCTTTGAGTAGGGACAGAGACGAGGATGGGGAGCTAGGTCGAGTAACATCAGAAGCAATACGAGGTGTGTCTTTCACATGAGAGCCTGAGTTGACTTTGAGGCCAAAGACATGGACAGTTCCTTTGTCACTTGAGACAGCCAGCCACTCAGCATTTGAAGAGAAAGCCAGACTATATATCTCCGCTCTATCTGCACCCCTCCTAACCTGTACAGACCACATCACGTTGACGTTACAGAACCATGGACTCCAAAACTCACAAGGTACTATTATTAAAAAAGAACAAAACCACATTTGAGATTTCCTAACAAAACAAGAATTGTAAGACTTCACAGTATTGTATATGATGAGTAAATCCAACATCCTAACAAAGATGATCAGACAAAATACTAAGAGTGACGCAATGCAAGTGAGCTATAATTCACAAACTCGACCGAGTCTGGCAGCTTAAGGAACATGATCAGCTGCAAGATTAACCACCACATGTTACGTAATAGCAACTGTTCCTAATGATGTATTCATCTAAAAAGATTAACGTTTTGCAGGTTAGACTATTTCCACGTTTCACCTCAATAAACAAAAAGATGCATCCTTTTCAATCGACAAGTAACTAATCTGCATCTGTCAGCTAATAATAATACACATGTAATGAGATAACCAACATCCACCAAATGTTGGATATAAAGTGACTAAACCACCAAACAATAGAGATAATCCCAAAAAGAGAAAGGCTTTCGATGATCATATAGTACCTCTTGCCTCAAGGAGCCATCAACAGTATTAAAGATCCGAACAAGAGTACCCTTGGAGCTAGCCGTAGCCAACAAGCTCCCATCTTGCGTAAGCGCAAAGCAAGCAATCCTCGAATCATGAGCCATAACAAACTTAGTCCTCTTAGAACCATAATGCTCAATCCTCACCTGCCCTTTCTGCAAACCAGGACACACCAAAACCATCGAACCACCCCCCTGAGAGACACCACACAGTCCCTTAGGGTTCGCAATAGTCTCAATCTGATGCAACAGCTTGAGATCCACGAAATTGTAAACGAAGATCTTCTGCTCAAGAACGACTACAATCCGATCCCTCCTGAGCCTCACGGACCGAACTTCGGACCTGAAGGAAAGCTCGCCGATGCATCTGCTCTGGTGATCGTCCCAAATCATCACCTTGTTGGGAGGATACTGTGGATCGGGGCCTCCGCCTACGAGGGCTAGGATGTTGCATCTGAAGAGCATCTCCACGACGGCGACGCCGCCGCCGCCGCGGTCGAAGTCGCGGCGGAAGAGTTCGCGGAAGGGGTCGCAGTTGAGGATGCGGAAGCCGTGGTCGGTGCCGACGGCGAAGCAGGCGTGGTCTTGGTTGAAGGAGAGGTGGAGAAGCGACGGAGGAGGAGGAGGAGACGGTTGAATAGTGAGGTGACGGTTCGGATCAGGAATTGGATCGGAGTTTTGAGTGGCGTATTCGGAGTTGTTGAGAGTCATGGAGAAGAAGGTGTCGAGAGACTCCGTGTCGTCTCCACGATCGCGGTTGTGAGAAGAGTCGGAATCTGAGGCAGGGGTAGAATCGGGATTTGGCAAGGGAGAAGAGGAGGAGACGGTTGTTGTCATTTGGAATCTGAAGGGAATGTTTTGGAGAGAATGAAGAAGCGTGAAGGAGGAGTTATAAGCAAAATGAGTTCGTGCTTTGCTTGTTCCCGTCGTCTCCTTCAGCCGGCTTATTATTTTACTAAATATAATTAAAACGGTTGGGATAAACCGGTTAATTTGCCAAATTTATATTAGTGTATGTTAAAATTATTTTCATGTAATTTTAGTGAATAATTTAATAAAACTTATTCCATCTAATTCAATAGATTAGCTCCTACAAAATTTGTATTTTCTGGCAAAACATGGATAACTAAGATCACACATTTCTTTAATCTTCATCATATGTCAATTCATAATGAAATTATGCATAATACAAAAATATCATATTTTCTAATTTATAAATTTATAGGTTAATCCCTATAAAAAGATTGGATTTTCCAATAAATACTATATATACTAAAGTTTAGCCTATTTTGTGGACATGGACATCATCTCAAATTTTTCAACAGGTAATTTATATAAACTTCATATACCACTTAATCAGTGGATAAACCCCCTATAAAACAAATAAAGTTTGGGATAAACTTACATTTTATGGTAATTTTTTATATAGCTGGTTTCAAAGAATAATGCAGAGCTGCGTAATGTCAGTGAATGATGCAAATATGCATTAAAACAAAATTTTCATATTTTCTATTTTTTATCAAAATATATAGATTAACCACTACGAAAAAACTGAGTTTTCCAATAAATGCTATATATACTAAAGTTTAGCCTCTTTCGTGCTATTAAAACAAATACCTAACCACACTCAAAACTTATATTAATGTATGATAAGCTTATTTACCTAGTACATACACATTATTTCTAATTTTCCAACATGTAATTTATTTAAATTTCATATACCACTTAATCAGTGGACACACCCCTTATAAAATAAATTCTATTGTCTAGAGAAACATGAACATCTAAAAGGTCTCAAACGTCTTTAACCTTCATACTATGTGAAAGAATGATGCAAATATACATTAAAACAAAATTTTCATATTTTCATATTTTTCTCGAAATATGTGGGTTAACCACTATAGAAAATCTAGTTTTTGATAAATGCTATATTAAGAAGTTTATGCTCTATATTGTTGATGAAAATTACACAATAACATTCTAAATTTGTCTTAATGTATGTTAAAATTATTTTCATGGCGCATGGACATCATCTCAAATTTTCCAATAGGTAATATATATATAAATTTCATATACCACTTAATCAATAGACAAACTCCCTATAAAAACAATTCTATTTTCTGGAGAAACATGAACACCTAAGGTCTCAAACCTCTTTAAACTTCATATTGTGTCAGTGAATGATGAAAATATGCATTAAAACAAAATTTTCATTTTTTCTAATTTTTCTCAAAATATGTGGGTTAACCCCTACAGAAAATCTAGTTTTTGATAAATTCTATATTAAGAAGTTTAGGCTCTTTATTGTTGATGAAAATTACCCAATCACATTTTAAATTTGTATTAATGTATGTTAAAATTATTTTCATGGCACATGGACATTATCTCAATTTTTCCAATAATTTATATAAATTTCATATACCACTTAATCAGTGGACAAACCCCTATAAAAAAAATTCTGTTTTTAGAGAGACATGAACACCTAAGGTCTCAAACCTCTTTAACGTTCATACTATGTCAGTGAATGATGAAAATATGCATTAAAACAAAATTTTTATTTTTCAAATTTTTCTCAAAATATGTGGGTTAACCCCTACATAAAATCAAGATTTTTTTATAAATGCTATATTAAGAAGTTTAGGCTCTTTGTTGTTGATGAAAATAACCCAATCACATTCTAAATTTGTTAATGTATGTTAAAATTATTTTCATGGCACATGGGACATCATCTCAAATTTTCCAACCAGTAATTTATATAAATTTCATATACCACTTAATCAGTGGACAAACCCCTTGTAAAACAAATTCTATTTTCTGGAGAAACATGAACATCTAAGGTCTAAAACCTCTTTAACCTTTCATACTATGTCAATGAATGATGAAAATATGCATTAAAACAAAATTTTCATTTTTTCTAATTTTTCTCAAAATTTGTGGGTTAACACCTACAGAAAATCTAGTTTTTTGATAAATGCTATATTAAGAAGTTTTGACTCTTTATTATTGGTAAAAAATTACCTAATCAAATTCTAAATTTGTATTAATGTATGTTAGAATTATTTTCATGGTACATAGAAAGCATCTCAAATTTTTCAACATGTAATATATTTAAATTTTATATACCACTTAATTAGTGGGCAAACCCCCTATAAAAAGGCTATTTTCTGGAGAAATGTGAACACCTAAGGTCTCAAACCTCTTTAACCTTTATAATATGTCAGTGAAGGATGAAAATATGCATTAAAACAAAATTTTCATATTTTCTAATTTTTCTCAAAATATGTGGGTTAACACCTACAGAAAATCTAGTTTTTTGATAAATGCTATATTAAGAAGTTTTGACTCTTTATTATTGGNTGTTAGAATTATTTTCATGGTACATGGAAATCATCTCAAATTTTTCAGCATGTAATATATTTAAATTTTATATACCACTTAATTAGTGGGCAAACCCCCTATAAAAACTCTATTTTCTGGAGAAATGTGAACACCTAAGGTCTCAAACCTCTTTAACCTTTATAATATGTCAGTGAAGGATGAAAATATGCATTAAAACTAAATTTTCATATTTTCTAATTTTTCTCAAAATATGTGGGTTAACACCCTACAGATAATCTAGTTTTTTGATAAATGCTAAATTAAGAAGTTTTGACTCTTTATTATTGGTAAAAAATTACCTAAACAAATTCTAAATTTATATTAGTGTATGTTAAATTTATTTTCATGGTACATGGACATAATTTCAAAATTTCCAACATGTAATTTATTTAAATTTTATATACCACTTAATTAGTGGACAAACCCCCTATAAAAAGTCTATTTTCTGGAGAAATGTGAACACCTAAGGTCTCAAACCTCTTTAACATTTATAATATGTCAGTGAAGGATGAAAATATGCATTAAAACAAAATTTTCATATTTTCTAATTTTTCTCAAAATATGTGGGTTAACCCCTACTGAAAATCTAGTTTTTTGATATATTCTATATTAAGGAGTTTAGGCTCTTTACTGTTGATGAAAATTACCCAATCACATTATAAATTTGTATTAATGTATGTTAGAATTATTTTCATGGTACATGGAAATCATCTCAAATTTTTCAACATGTAATTTATTTAAATTTTATATACCACTTAATTAGTGGGCAAACCCCCTGTACAAAAATCTATTTTCTGGATAAACGTGAACACCTAAGGTCTCAAACCTCTTTACCCTCAAAATATGTGGGTTAACACCTACATGAAATCTAGTTTTTTGATAAATGCTATATTAAGAAGTTTTGACTCTTTATTATTGGTAAAAAATTACCTAATCAAATTCTAAATTTGTATTAATTTATGTTAGAATTATTTTCATGGTACATGGAAATCATCTCAAATTTTTCAGCATGTAATTTATTTAAATTTTATATACCACTTAATTAGTGGGCAAACCCCCTATAAAAACTCTTTTTTTCTGGAGAAATGTGAACACCTAAGGTCTCAAACCTCTTTATCCTTTATAATATGTCAGTGAAGGATGAAAATATGCATTAAAACAAAATTTTCATATATTCTAATTTTTCTCAAATATGTAGGTTAACCCCTACTGAAAATCTAGTTTTTTGATAAATTCTATATTAAGAAGTTTAGGCTCTTTACTGTTGATGAAAATTACCCAAAAACATTATAAATTTGTATTAATGTATGTTAGAATTATTTTCATGGTACATGGAAATCATCTCAAAATTTTCAACATGTAATTTATTTAAA